TACAGCGTTTAACATAGCGTTTTCGCTATATAAGAGTTACACCTGAAGTGCGCCCCAAGATTTTTAATAGCGGTTTGTCGTAGAGAGTTCATTCTTTTTTTGTTTAAAAGAGGAAAAAAAAATACATTGACTGACTGGCGTCGATTTTTGAATTAGGTCTTAGTTTTTTGTCAAACTGAGGATTTTTAGAAAATCCGGAAGGCTTTTTCGGGTTTCGCAGGTTGTTGGTTGCCTGGAAAACCAATAAAGGTTTAATTGATATTTTTTTTATTCCAGTAACTCATTGTGCCGAACATTTATGGAAAGTTTCGTCAAGATCGGATGCACGGTGTATGAGATAATTTCTGAGGGGGGGTCCTTAATACTAGTGGACCGCAAAAGTAAGCCCCTCTTCGCCCCGTGTAACTGAAGAACCATAATAGCTAGAGACTTCTAATTTTGTATGAACATTGGTCTCACCGAATGCTGATCACCCAACAAGTTTAGGCCTCTTTTCCTGAATGGTTCGTGAGATATAAGTATTCCATTTCGTTTCCGTAAAATACTAATAACTCTTGATCTAAGGAAAACTTTTTTCTTTTTAACAAAATAGAGTCCTGATTCTCCTCTATCTACAAGATGATTTTGAAGAGGTAACTGTTAATGATTACTGAAAAATAGCTGTTTTACGATCAAGATCTCTGAAAATGATGTCTTTAAATATGAGGTCCTTCCAAAAAAAAGTCACAATTCATTCTCGGAACATCATTTTGACTTCAAAATTGCATAAAATACTGTGCAGTAGTACACAGTATAGACTTCTCAGCCAAATTATGAAGGTTAACTATTGTACGGATCTGGAAATGCGTTTCGAATGAGCAGACGCTAATGTAACATACACAGGGAGACGAATTTGAGAAAATAAGGGTCGCCGATTCTACCATCGATTCTCCGATTAGTATGCATTAGAATTATGTAAAAATATAATCACAGAAACCTATGAGGAAAGAAACAATAGGTGAAACTGTATAAAAGATAGATCAGGAGTTATTAGCATTTTACGAAAAAGAAATGAAATGTTTATATCTCACGAACTATTCAGGAAAACAGGCCTAAACTTGTTGGACGAGCAGCATTCGGCGAAAACACTGATCATACAAAATTAGAAGTCCCTAGCTAGTATGGTTCTTCAGTTGCAGGGGGGGAGGAGCTACTTTTGCGATCCACTGTAGTATCTGTTTATTTAATATTATAAACTATTTTTAGGTATAATTCAAGAATGGAAGAAAGTTTGAATTGTTATTTGGAAATAAATTGTTATTATCCTATATGTCCTTTGGTCATACACAATTATTTTGTTCACTTTTCGCTTCAATCATCATTCATTCTTCTTGTAAATAATGATGATTCTTTCATGAATCTTTCATGAATGATGATAAGAATACGGATGAATGAAATATGATCTCTTTTTTTTTGCTTCTGCTAACATAACGATATTTTCCTGTAAAAAAAGAAAAAGATTATTGTCGAAAATTAGTCTCTTATTTTATACTTTTAGTTATCAATAGAGTAAAAGAATATATGAGATTTGTATATGAACGTAATATTTATGTCGAAATCTAATATCTCTATGTACAGAAAGAAAGAAAGAGAGAAAGAAAGTAAAAAAAGAAAGAATCAAAGACAGAAAAAAAGAAAGAGAATATAGTTTCTATCATTTCCTATTTCTATTATGCAACGGAAATTGATTTTCAAAGGCAAATGATACCGGTAATCGATGTGAATTTGTAGAAATCCAAGAACTGAGTACATTCTCCAGATATAAGAATGAATTTTACAACTTAAGTAGAGATTGTGCACATTTTCAGCCTCTTTATCTTATTTTCTGAGAGTAAAACAAATATTTTTATTTTTGTTTGTTTTTTAGAATAATTTCTGATAGATGACATCTTGTCTTGGTCCGGAAAGTACGTGCTCTTATTAGGTTGCAACCAAATGCTATTTGGATTCACTTAAACATTTATCATCAGTTTTTACAACAACAAAAGAGACTCAACAATATAGACCAATAATATCTAACTAGTTATCATTTTAGTTCAACGTACGAAAAAATTTTGTTTTTATATAGCTAAACATGCCGAGTTGAACTGTAACGACAATATCTGTTGTGGCCTAATTATTTATTATATCAAGTAGAGTAGTTGAACTGACAGCTTCGACTCTGATTTTTTTTCAGTCTTGGCTCATCCACAGAGATAATAGCCTCATAGTTTGTCCATGGATTAGACATAAACAGCGTGAAAGAAGCAATGAAGGGCGAACAAAAGCATCATACATTGCGTAGAATAATGAATCAGGACTCAAACGCCTTTATTGTTAGACAGTACAGTTCAAAGTAAATACGTTTGTCCCACGAATGCCAGTTCGTGGAATCTGTTTTATCATTCATGTAACTGTAATTTTCTACTATATTTTGCTTTCAATCTGTTATTCACCTTTCTGTCCGTTATTTGTTTGTAAGTTGCTAATGCTAAACCTTCATTGTATATACTCAAAATCACTTTTTAGAAAAAAATAAAATAAAATAAATGCATACAACAACAAATGAATTTATCATATTATTACTTGTAGAGAGACAGGAAAAAAATGGTGTGTTTTTGCTATAAAAAACAGCAACAAGTACAATTATTGGTGAAAAATATCTCTATCTCAAACTCCCCCTCCTCCCTCTTTCCCTTTCTCCCTCTCTCTCTCTCTCTCTATATATATATAAGTTAGAAAAATAAAATGTAACATGAGGGAAGAATTTCAGATAAAAATTTGTATCAGCCTGTTAGTTGAAAAATAAAACATCAATTCAAAATACACAAAAATAACTATTGCCTAAAATCTAAAAATATGCATAAATCTAAAGACTAATTCAACATATTTCTGCAGGCCTAATAACAACTCTGATAGTATGAAGCATAATAAGAATTTCTATTGTCATACAGAAATATAAAAACAAAATGTTAATAAAATTCGTCATATTTTTCTAAATATATTCTGTTGTATAGTATTTATTTGAATCCTTTTTTAATATCACATGTAGCGGATTGAACGTTGTTCTTCTTGGTTGGTTAAAACTAATGTTATTTCCCATATCATGTTTATCCGTTGTTTGACGATAATCACTTTCATTTTCACTTGTTGTAGCATCAATCAATGTTGGATAGGCGCTTGTCACTGTTGTATCACCTTGATCATAAGATAAAGAAGGTGACCCCAATGGACTTTCCCGTCGTGAAATAATATCAGAAACTGGTGGTGTATCGGATGTATGATCTGATAATAATGTTACCGTCGGTGGGGATGATAGTCGATCATCGACTAATGGTTTGGAATTCTCTATGGTTAAAAGAGGAGTTGTTTCTGTATCGATTTTATCTGATACTGCAGCAGTGTTCGTCGAATTTTCGAATTCACCTAATGGATTCACAACGATTTTAACGAGATTGTCTTCATCATTGCCTTTTATTTCCTGAGTAATATTAGAATTAGAAGAAGATTGCTCGGCAGAAGGATTAATCGGTATAGTTTTAGTCAATGTTTCAACTTTATCCGGCAAATCGATGCCATATATTTTAACTTCTTTAATTTTATCGACTATTGCTTGAGTATCAGTTAACTCAGCACCGTACACACCACTATCGGCATTCATTACGGGTTTGAGTGTTGACGGTACAGCAGATGTCATAATTGCTGTTCCTGCTGCTTCAGAACTCGTTGAACTCATTTCTTTCAGTTGATGACTAGAAGTAGTCGTCTGTCCCTCACCTCCGGGAGCAGTCGTCGGTTTGTTAAATCGTGATGAATTTACATCAGATATTTGAACAGTTCTCTCAGGTACAAGTTTACGTTTTTGAGACTGAGCAGCAGCATCCGTGTTATTTGTTAGCGGTGTGTCAAGTAATGGAGTTTTATCTGCTGATATCGGAGCATGTTGAGTCTTATTATTTTTTGACGCAGTAGATGGTAAAGTTTTACTCGGAGTCGCTACAGTTTTTGAAGATGTTTTTACAGTTGATTGCCGCCTAGAAAAGAATTCATTATATAACGATGATGAAAGAGTCTAAGCATTTCTTGAGAAAAAATTTATCAGTATTGCTACATACCTCTTGAAAAATATGAGCAAAACTATACCAATTCCAATAGCCAGAACAAGCAGCCCAATTCCAGCAATAACACCAATGATTATTTCTAAAATAAAGATAAAATATAGATATATATTCTTACAACAAGCAAAAATCAGAGAAATAATCGAATACCTTTTCTGTGAGATTTTTTTACTATTGTTTGATTTTTATTTATTGGTTCTTCTAATATGACTAGTGTCGTTGTTGTTATAGACATTAATGGTAGTACAGGTGTTGATGAAATGGATGAAAACACATGATTATAGATACGTGAAGTTGATGGTACAACTAAAAATATAATCAAATTATTTAAAGAAAAAAAAAGAGATCATCTAAGGCACATTATACCTTTGTAACGAATTTTAAAATAACGAGATTTAGATGATAAAACCGTATGAAGTGACATATAAACGGAACTTGATGGAATTGTATAACGAGATGTTGATAATGGATGATTTGATGATCGTTCATCACCACACCATGCATGATAAGATTTCCACATGGCACCATTTTTCCCATTATTATTATTATTATGATAATTATTATTATTGTTATTTGTTAATGAATCATTGTTTTGACCACCATAACCAAATATTTCCAAATATTCTGTGTGACATTTAATTGAATCATGTAATTGTAGTTGTAATGGAGTTAGTTCAATATACATTGAATGTTCAGCTTCTATATGAAATAGAAAAATATATCAGATTAAATAAATTTAATAACAAAAAACAACAATAACTAACTAACCTATACTAATTGAACATTTTAAATTGTCGGCCATTGGATGAGGATAAGCTAAAAGTATAAGAAAAAAATTTAATCTTGAATATTTCAATATTTCAATTTTAATTTACCTGGTGAAACAATAAATCCGTATAATGTATTTCGAACAGTTTCTTTATGTTGACAAAGAGTATAAACTATAATTTAGACAAAAAAATAATAATTGATATAAATATTCACATATTATATATTATTCAATTACAAATGACTACTTACTTTGCATACAGGTATATTTTACAAAAAAATATGTTGGCGTTTGACGTTCACCATCTTTACATAAAACATAATCTGTTGGCGATATATCAATTGTACAACTATGATTTCCTTCACATTGTGTAGCATTAAGAATATTTTGACAATGAATTAAATATTCTGAATGAACATCGGGTTCACAACGTTTTGTACGACGATAAACTTTGTTTATAATAACATCTGTTAATAGTGCATCATCATCAGGACAAGTTAATTGTTGTGGACCTTCTAAATATATTGTAAAAAAACAAAAAATAGTATCTATATTATATATCCTTTATGTTATAATAATATTTGAACTATGAGATTATATACCTTGAGTTGAACACCAAAATTTTTCGTAGGTTTTTGTCAATACTATAAAAAAAAGACAATAGATTAATTATCATATTATCTTATTTGTTTTTAGTCGTACCCGACGAACAGCACATGATGAGTGCTAGTAGTGTAACTCTCCATACCATCCTACATGAGTCCACTTTTAAATAGCTGCAGATTGATCATATCAAAATTCTAGAGAGAAAAGAAAAGAAAAGAAATATAAAAGTCAATCAAAATAGCAATAAATAAGGACTATTGATTATTATTCTGATGACAGATTCTTTCGACAGTTAATGTATTTTTTAGATAATTGTGCGCAGTCATGTTAAAGCAATTTGATATTTAGAGCGATTAATATGGTGACAATTTTTTTTTATATGTTGTCTATAGAAACCTTTCAAGTATTATTTTATATCATATATTCTTATCTTGACATCAGACATCACTATTCGTTATTTGATCTAAATTTGAGCCTCGACTTAAGAAATAAGATAATAATATTTACATACGTTATTTTCTATTTTTATGTGTGAAATAGTCACTAGTACCATTAATTATTATTTGGTTGAGATAAAAATGGTAAGTGAGAATACTTTAAAGACATTTATGTAACATATGTGGTGCCATTAAATATAAATAAAAGAACTTTGGCGATTATTATTCAACAAAAGACAAGTGCTCTACACTATATACACACTTTTAAGTACTTATCAAACAACTACACATCAACAATGTATATTTATGGGACTACAAACGAACTACACTTTATACTTTTTTCCTCTATTTTTTTCTCTCGTTTCCTTTTTACTTATTATTATCTTTCGGGGATTACTTTTCAAAGAATAAATTTGTTTGTCTATCTATCTACGTGTACTATGTGTATCAGAGACGATATATTTCAGACAGACAATGTGTTTAATAACTTTAAGCTATTAATGAGATGTGATATCAGCAGCACTCTATTTGACATTAACACATGTTGAATAACGCTCAATTTGACATAATAAAAAATTATATTCTCATTGCCACTGCTGTTCTTACATCCGTTGTTCGAAGATGACAAAGAGAAAGTAGACAAGAAAAAATAACAGTTGTGCGCGCGGATGATTTCTTGTCAATCATACAAATGATTTTTTTTTTTTTTTTTTGGTTTTATAATAATAATGATAATTTAAGAAAGCTTATTATTACTATTATTATTAGCGAGTTAAACTAAAGATAGAACACTGATAAATTTTTCAAGGTTTTTTCCAGTCATTTTTACCAGGTATATAATCTTGTTACAGAATGATACGCCTCTGTCATACTTATTTCAATCTTTTCCGATCATGTAAATCCAAAATCTCTGATAAAGATTTGATAAATGTTAGTCTATATTTAATAAACTGATTTTCACTAGTAATAAATTTGTTATCTGAACTGTAGATTAGTTAAGAAATGATATTAATATCTTTTTAACAAAAATAATATCCATAAAGAGTGAGTGAAGTATATTGAAAAATTTTAGTTTTCTACTGTAAAATTGTTATATTACCTTTCTATTATTTACTGTTTCTTTCTTCGTCTAATGTCCAATGTAAAATGTTTTTGTACTATCAATTAGAAGATATACTGACCAAGATATGGAACCAATTTTTCTTTCTTTCTCTCTATATATCTCTCTCTCTTTGTTTTTTTGGTATGATTTGTTTAAAATTATGTTTGGTGTTCTCTTTTTTCTGTCGTTTATTGTGATAACATTATGATCAATATGGTTATAATTATTATGCACGCAGTAAAATCATTCATCTTCATATGTGTGTGTCTGTGTGTGTGTGTATCTCTATCCCTGCAGAGAGCGCGAGAGATCTGTGTATGTATATGCACGTACAAATTCTATCTACCCTATCCTATATCCTGAAGCATGTACAGATGATGTTCTGTCACTAATTTGCATAATGAATAGAGTTGTTTTTATTATCGTATATGAAGAGAAAGAGAGAGTATGATACGTACTAAACTTGTATATACAATATATGATAACGATTCCATTTTTTTTACTATTTAAAGATGAGGAATCATTGTATTAAATAAACAATGAATTAGAAACCAGAGAGAGAGAGAGATATTTATTATTATTTACTAAGAATTCACTTGCATCAATACAGAGAAAAATAATTATAACTTGCATAACATATTCTAACAATACATAGAGGTAATTGAAAATTGTATCGTACACATCGAATAAATTAATTGTTAGCAGAAAATTTCATCTCCTCTAACTCTTATCTTTTTAAAATGAATTTCAATCATATAATATATATATATAACATCTTAAGAATCATCATCCGTAGTAGTTTCCTTTTTTTTTCTTCTTCGCACTACAGGGTAACGTTTTCATGCCGTTAATAAACCTTTAAAAGAAAAAGAAATGTTTGCTAGTGATGGTATATGAATTTTCAATGTCTTCTTCACTTATTACAAAATATAGATAAAAATCATTCTTTTCAATTAATGAATTTTTAATGAGATAAAATATCTCTATTGTTTTGTATTCAGTTCAATTCATACATCCATATGGAAAAAAATTGAAAGAAAAAATTATCTACGAATAAAACAACAAAAAATTGTTTGGTAAATAAATATGCAAGAAAGTAGGCTTTACTTGCAGTTATTTTTTTCTCCATTTTTTTTTCTTTTTGCTCTCAAAGACAAAGAATGATGATGATGAATATAGTTCAACAAATTTTAATCTATGTAATCAATCTTTCCTCGTTCTCTAAACTCAAAATTAATGTAAAACAGCAAGTGTTCAACAAGAGAAACCTGTCAGCTTCTCTTTAAGACCTCGACTATAGAACTTTTTCTATCTTTTTTTTTCTTTTATTCTTCTCAAATACAATGCCTTTCTCGTTCGTTCGTACAGTTACAGTCAATTTAGCTTTTTTTTTTTTTGAGATATGTTGAATAGCATTTTTTTTTTTCTCCTGTTGTTGTCAAATGTATTCGGTTCCCCATAAATAAGTGACTGATGAGTTTTCTCGTAGTTAATTTATGGCCTATAGTCATCGTGTCAACATTGATTACGCACAAAATTCAAATTTTTGCAAAAGAGATAAAAAAAAAAAAAAGAAGAAGAAGAAAGTTCTCCAAATGAAAATTCTAATTAAAAATTAGTCTTCTCATTTCACTAAACAACATATGATAATTAGAAATAGACAAATTATTATTCTCTTTCATATATCCGTAAAGAATATCATAAAGAAAAAAGATAGATATACAATAACAACAAGAAATATTCTCGCACACATTTGACACATAAATTTTTTTCTCTATTAAAAATTAAAAACAATTAACATTAACAAAAGATATATATTAGCAATATTAAAAAAAACAACGCATAGAAAAAGAAGGAAAAAAAAAATGTATATATGTTCAATAGAGAGAATAAATTATTTCTTTTGAATACGGTGTAAAGATCATCCATCCAGAAAACATTTGTAAGGAAAGCACTAACAAAAGATAAAAAAAATTTCCTTATTCTATAATAAAAACGGTACGATGAACATTTATCTTAGTTTATCGTATACTAACTCAAAATATATGAAGATTTGAAGAAAAAAAAAACATTCTTACCCTTGTCAAATATCTCTTGAAAACTGTTCATCATTAAAAATATTGTCGAGAACAAAATATTGCCGATAAATAAAATTAAATTATTATTTTTATGTTTACACTATATAACCTTGACTGATGTCTTTTCTTCGTTTTTGAATATAGTGTGTTAAGACATACGTTTTTTAGCATATAAAAATGACTTTTTGCCGTTTCCTTTCTCGTCATTCATTGTCATCAATAGAATAAATAACTTGCTTTGTCATCATTAGTAGTGAAACAAACGAGGTCTTATTGTTTGTTTAATTTTTTATTTAAATCAGGTACAAATTATTTTTATGTACTAGTTTTCTTTTTTTTTTTGGAAAACATTCATTTTCCTTTCTGTTTCTTCTTGACGTTATATAGTAGTTCAAAATAGTTTGTAATAAAAAAAAAAAAGAACCAATTTTTTTTTTTGTAGAAAGTTTTCCTATTACTTTTTCGCTTTTTATTTTTATTTTTTATTTTTTTGTCAGTCCATTAAGTGAGTGAGAGAAAGGGAAAAAAATAGTCTTCTTCTTGTAGAAGAACGTACTTTTTCACGCTTAGAATTGCAAGAGGCTTTTCTCTCGATGTAGGGAGAAACAGAGAGAGAGAGAGAGAGAGAGAGAGAGAAAGAGGAGAAAATCATTGAAAAGACAGAAAGAATTATTGTCATCATTCTAATACATGATAATAATATATATTTGTACTTCTATTTAAAAAAACCGAATTAACAGAAAGATTTGTACTATCAAACGAGAGAAAAACAAGACTCATAGAAGAATGAAGTCTTTTTTCCAATAGAGCGAGAGAGAGCGAGAGAGAGAGAGAGAGAGTAGACAAAGATAATAGAATGATGCAAAAATAAAGCGAAGTATCGATAAGTGGAAATATACATGTACTATACGAATGACGATGATAAAGATATGTGTGTCTTGAAGCTAAAAGTGGAAGAAGAATTCAAATCATATATGAAACTATATAGTCAGTATCATATTTCAGTTCAAAAACTGAAATTAATTATAAATCAATTGACATATTCCTTGACAATACTTGCTAACAAGTCACATTTAGAAAATATATAGTCCTCTTTAATTAAAGAGAGAGCTTCACAAAAAACATGCGCTCCATATGAATTACGTATGCTTATTTTTTTTCTATGTTTTTGTCTTGAAGAGAGAGAGAGAAGAAGAAAAAAAATTCACTTCACTTTTCATATGAATTTTTTTGTCATTTCTTTGATGCTATGCTTTATTTAAAAAGAAACAATGAAACAAAGATTTGTACTAACATTTTTTTTTTGTTTTGTTTTCAGCGAAGAATATAATCTATACCCAAATGTAAAAATAGGAAATCATGGCAATAGATCTTCGGAGAAGAAAATTGAAAAGAATTTATTTAAACGTCTTTCTCGGTCTCTCTCTCTCTCTGCTTTGGGGAAATGAAATCCGCTGTGAATAACCTTGATTTAATAAAAAAAAATGAGAAAATTTAGTAGACAATATAAACATACGAAAAATTGTTT